TTAGAGAGCCTCAGTATTGGTGCGTGGTCCCCTTGGACTCTGCAGTAAAAGGAAGTTTAAGTGTAAGCGGGAGCGTGGTCACGCAAAACGAGGTTGACTTTAGCTCGATCAGATGGAGTGCCTAACCATCTCGGTCACAAGGGTAAACCCAGAAGCTCGGTCGCTCAAGCGGGCCAGATTTTAGCCCGGTCGAGCGGTCCAACACTTTATTACCTCGGTTCATACGTGAGTTTTGCAAACCTACAACTTGCTCGGTGTTGGTGTTTTTTTGGATCAAACGAAGACCTAGAGCCCAGTCCGCCCCAGATCCTTGTGCGTTCATCACTGAGGTTGAAGAACAGTAAAGAGAGCAGGGGCAAATGAGGGTTTTGGGGGGTTATATCCTAAAACCAATGGTTTTTCGTGCCCAAAAATGTGAAATCCCAAATGAAAAAGCAATAAAGGGGTTCGAAGAACTTACCAGAATGGGACAAAAGTCGAGTCTTCAAGCACGAACGCAGTAGAAAGCAAGAATGGAGCTTGAAAAAGCAATGGAGGGCACTGCAGGTCGTCTGGGGATATGACGCGTTTAAAGGAGAAAAGAACCGCCTAATTTTGAATATGAAAAGACATCTGGGTTGGCTGCTCGAGGCCAATAAATGATCGACGCGTGTCCCAATTGACGGCGGCGTCAGTATTGAACAGACAGTAAGGCGAGTTGGAGCGCCGATCGAACAGATCGAGAAACCGAGCTTAGGGATTAGCGCGGTTAACGTTTTGCGAACTAAGAACCGATGGAGAATCTACCCCGATCGGAACAAGTAATCCAAGTCACGCTTGCGCGGATGGAATTAAGGGGCAATTGAGAGGGAGATTTATAATCTGGCTTTGGGCCGTGGAGGAAGGAGGACTGGATAGGGCCGAGCACGTTTGGGCCGAGCTAATTTGGTCCTGTTCCGAGTGGATTTCACTCGGTTTTGGCTCGGGCCCCCTGTTTAGGCCGAACTAACTGGGGCTTCCCTGGAGTTGATCTTGCTCGGTCCAGGCCTAGGCCTAGGCCCAGGCCCGAGGTCTAAGCCCCATGTTTGGACCGAGCTTACTTGGCCGAGATGACCGCCTGCCAACCCGGGTTCCATGGGTTGCACGCGTAGCTCGGCGGGAAATGTCTTCTGTGCACGGCCGACCTGTCTTGAGCTCGGCTCTGCCGGAATGCTACTGTCACAACCCAAACCCGCCCCTAAAAGTTTGGGCATGACCTATTCAAAAACAGACTTGAAACCTGATATACATAACATATGGGGCCTGAACGGAAGCATTAAATATCAAAATTTGACAATAGAAACAAACTCCATTGAGCTACTACTATCATGCTAGGATCACAAACTTTAAACAGACAAATAAAATCTAAAACATACACCTGAATATCGGTTATATACGCACATATATACAAGCCCAGCTCTATAATTGGGCATACATCAAAAACATTTCAGAAGAAAGTATTATACACATTTCAACCTTAGGCCAATAAGTAAAGCGTAGCGCCAAAAGTTTGTCAAGACTTCACAAAAATATGAGTGGCTTCATCTAGAGTCTGGGCACTCAAAGGTTGACAAAATGAACGAGCATCATGGCTCAGGATTAACCACTTGGTTGTTTACCTACAGAAACAGACATAACATAAAGTGAGGCAAACTCAGTGGGTAATAGTACTTAAATGCTCGATTTTCACATAACATCTAGCAACGCATACTTAAATACAAAGATCACGCAGTTAATCTGTTCCTGTTTTCATTTCAAAATGGCCTTAGGCCCAATCGTGAGACATAGTGGCTTAAAACCCTTGAACACATTAACATTAAACTTTTAAACATGATGGCATATAGCCCTTGAACATATGGCATGGAGCCCTTAAACATGGTGGCATATAGCCCTTGTACATATGGCATGAAGCCCTTGTCAAAATGGCATAAAGCCCTTATCAGAATGGCATTACAGCCCTTGAACATATAAATATATGAACTCAAGAGGTGTCTCACACGGATTCTAGAGGTGACTCACATTGTAGCACTTAGTTCCGTGTAGCACTTTGTTTCATATTAGAATGGCATAAGCCCTTATCAGATTGGCATTACAACCCTTATCAAAATGGCATTAAGCCCTTAAAACATATTGGCATTAAAGCCCTTGAAACATATCGGCATTAAAGCCCTTGAAACATATATATATATATATATATATATGAACCCAAGAGGTGTCTCACACGGACTCTAGAGGTAACTCACATCGTAGCACTTAGTTCCGTGTAGCACTTTGTTTCATATTAGAATGGCATAAGCCCTTATCAGATTGGCATTACAGCCCTTATCAGAATGGCATTAAGCCCTTAAAACATATTGGCATTAAAGCCCGTGGACATGCATATATGAACCCAAGAGGTGTCTCACACGGACTCTAGAGGTAACTCACATCGTAGCACTTAGTTCCGTGTAGCACTTTGTTTCATATTAGAATGGCATAAGCCCTTATCAGATTGGCATTAAGCCCTTAAAACATATTGGCATTAAAGCCCGTGGACATGCATATATGAACCCAAGAGGTGTCTCACACGGACTCTAGAGGTAACTCACATCGTAGCACTTAGTTCCGTGTAGCACTTTGTTTCATATTAGAATGGCATAAGCCCTTATCAGTAAACTTGTAACATACTTGAACTTATAACATGCGTATACTTGTAATATACTTGATTTTATAACATACATGGACTTATAACATACTTGGACTTGTATCATACATGAACTTATAACATACTTAAACTTGAAAACTTGTAACACATTTAAACTTGTATATACTTGTACTTGTAACCTTACTTAAACTTGTACATATTTGAACTTGTCACATATATAAACTTGTAACATTCTTGAGTTTGTAACATTCTTGACTTATAGCATACGTAAACTTATAACAGACTTAAACTTAGAACATACGTAAACTTGTAACTTAATTATTTGAACCACGGTATTATTACCCCTGGGTAAGGGCCTTGTGCTAAAGATGATGTGAATACTTCTACATATATGAATAATCATTCATTAAGTTAATAGAAAACAGAGCATTTCTTGTTATATCATGTCATTATCATGCGCTTAACAAAATAGAATAATTCATATTCTTATGTGGGTTGCATACTGATGGTAAAACTTTACATTCATATCATAGATTCTAAACGATCTTGGGTTCCTTCGTAACATAATCTTAGATTCACACAAATATCATTCTTCAAGGATGAACATAGGTTCCACTTATTCTTTAAGAAATAACATAGTATGCTGATAAATAACAAATGGCTAATATTCGTAATTAACAGAACGTAAGGATTCCAAAATCATACCGACGTACGTGAATCTTTCAGCGTTCATATAAGTTCACATTCCTTTTCAATTGTCATAAATGTTCGTATAACACTTACAAGGAACAGAGCATTAGTGACAATAATTGTCAACAATAGATAAAATGTACATTTTTGTACTACTACTCACAGTGTTTAGGTGCTTGGTCCGCCCCTGTAGCTGACCCTCGAGGAACAAACAAATGAGTGAGCTTAGATGAGATTCCTCCACAATTTCAAAATTCCAATCGGTAGAACATGATAATCTTCAAGCTTCTTCACTTCTTGATGGGTAATCTTGATCAAAACTAAAGGAAATGGAAGGTATTGAAGATCAAGGACCTAGGGTTTTTCCTAGGACAGAGAAAAGAAGAGGGGAAAAGAAAATGTGAGAAATGATCTCAAAAATCCCGTTTTTTAAGCTGCTGACTCACAAAACCCGCTCGAGCGTCTATCTTCCCGCTCGAGCGTACCTGCTGCAAGCACAGATTTCAAAACTTTGAACAGGTATAACTCTCCCATCCGAACTCCGTTTTAGGTCGTTCTTGTGTCCAAATTGAAGCCCCGAAAATAAGCTTTCTAATGGTTCTAACCCCACATCCATATTTAGAGTGTGGAAAAAGAAAAGGGCAAATGAGTGATAGTTGGCCGTAAAATAACTATCCGAACTAAATTCTTTGGTCCAATCTTAACTTACCATCATATTATCACTTCAATCAATACCCCAAAATAAGATAAGAACATTCCAAATACACCAATAAGAATGTCAAAAATGAGCCCACGTGCTTCAGAAGTCCAGACTTAATCAGGCGACCCGCTCGAGTGCCTAAACTTGCGCTCGAGCGCGGAGACCAACAAAGCCGTCTGCTCGAGCGACCACTTCTATGCTCGAGCAGAAAATCTCCACTCCTGGAATTTCAGTCCGCCTGCAAAATTACTGGAAACCCCAAAAGTACGCTCGAGCGCCAACTACTCTGCTCGAGCGAAGGGAAAAATTTTAGATTGTTCGGTAAAGGTCACCAATTCCGGTTTCAAAGCCATAACCCAACAGATAGTTCTTCAATTCCAATAGAAAACACATTAACCCCTAATTAAATAAGGATAACTTTCTATACGTATTTTGGGGTCGTTACAGCTACCGAGCTCGGCCGTTATGGGGCTCGGCGAGTGGAGCACTCAGGCACGTTACGTAGCACGGTCGTGGAAGGTCGAGGTAATGCCGCCGGGCTACCGAGTTCCCGCTAATGTTGTCTGATGGTTTGGTTAGGTGGTGTTCGCTGGATTTGTGCTGACAGATGGGAGAGCAGCTCCACGTGTCGAGAGACTAATGGATGCAGAGTTGAGCGCAGAAAGTATATAAGCATGACTGCGCCCCCCATGCTGAAAGAAAAAAATATCATTTGGTGAGAGAAATCTAAACACTCAACTCTTTTCTTCTCTCTCTCTATCTTTGAGTGTGTGCTAACTTGACCGTCGGAGGGGTTTTCCGGCAACACACCGCCGGGTAGCTCACCGCCGTTGTGTTCTCAGGTCGATCGGGTAGATTTCGAGCTTGGACGAAAGGAGTACAGACAGCAACGAATATCTTTGCCCCGTACAAGAGTCTTAGGGTTATATTCTGCAGGTACACCCTGAGCTCGGTCATACAGGATCAAAACCATACCATACTATAAAGATTTTTGCGTGATATATAAAAATACAACTGTTGGAGGAAAAACTAATATGCCACTGTCAGAAACTGGTAGAGTGTTGGAAGGTTTAGAATCTCTGGCTACTACTGTTGATGATGGAGAACTAGGTGACAATTTGTTGGAATTGTCATCAAATTCAGGTGTTAACACAAAAACTCTATCAAGTACTGTTGATGATGAAGGTGTGAAGGCTCTTCATGAATCATGAATGATGAAGACTATAGCATTTCTATGTCAAAAGCTAGTAAGAGTGCGACACGTCAACCTGAAGCAGATACTGACTCCAGGATAGGTACTTGTTCAAGGACTTATTGGCAACCACCAATGGACCGTTATTTCATTGACCTCATGCTAGAGCAAGTGCAGAAAGGGAATCAAATTGATGATCTGTTTCACAAACAAACCTGGACAAAGATGATTGCCTCATTTAATGCTAGATTTGGATTTAAGTATGACATTGATGTTTTGAAAAATCGATATAAAACTCTGAAAAGGCAGTATAATGTTATAAAGAATCTTCTTAACTTGAACAGGTTTTTCTGGGATGAAACACGGCAAATGGTGACAGCTGATGATCGTGTCTGGCAAGATTATATTATAGCGATCCCGGTTTTTGACCCGGCTTTTATGGCGTTCTGGACTCGGGTCTTTTGGTTTAATGTTATTGTTTATGTCTTTTCCTCTTGTTACCCTTTGAATTTGGGTTTTTGAATGTCTTGGGCGTTGTTTAGAAGAGGTTGGTTGCTACTTGGTTTAGAACTTTGTTGCCTAGAATTTTGGTCTTCCGCTCGAGCGGGGTTTGCAATCATTCAGTACTTTGTGCGTCTGCAAAAAATACTAGAGAAGTGTTTTTCACGCTCGAGCAGGTCTGAGCTCGAGCGGCCCATCTAGCGCTCGAGCGACTGTCTGAAGTCTGTAAAATACTGGGCGAGTGTATTCTATGCTCAAGTGGGTCTCATTGCGCTCAAGCGGGTAGTGCCTTGCTGTTGTGTCTTGGCGCTTGAGCGGCCTTTATTGCGCTCGAGCGGGTTGAATTTATGTATCTGACGCTCGACCGTCAAACTCTCCCATCGAGCGGACTGTGCATATATCAGATCGCGAAAGTGACTTTTTAAATCACTTTTTTGTTATTTCTCTCTCTAAAACTTTCCAAAATCCTAAGTTGAGAGCCTCTTTCTCTAAAATACTCTCTCTCTACATTTTGATCTAGATCTAGTGATCTCTTCACCCTCCTTCCTTTGATAAAAAGATTGAGCTCTTCAAGATCTCCATTTTCAACTGAGTAAAAGTTGGTTTCATCACTTTCGAAGTTTATCTTGTGCTTGGCTCTTCTCCCTTGGGCTTCTACACTTGAGGTAGGGATATTCTACTCTCCGATATGGGTTTTAACATAGATATTTGTCATTTGGTATAAATGGTGGGATTTGGGAAGTTTGGGTGAAGTTAGGGTTTGAAATTGAAATGTTTGAATGAGGAGTTTTCTAATTTGGGTTCCCTATGGGTATGAGAGGTCTTGAACATGCTATTGCTTGGATATAATTGGTGAAATTGGGTCTTGGGTACCATGTAAGTTAAAGGGGGAAAATGTCCTAATTTGAATTAAAGAAATTATTTGTATGATTAATGAAATCAAGTGTGGAAATATGAAATTGGTTTGGAAATTATGAGATTGGGGAAAAATGTGATTAAATGGTGTAGTTGAATTGATAAATCACTCACCTATGGTAAAGTTGATAAATCATTTGTTTGATAGATTTATTTATTTGTTTAGAAATAACTGTTTTGGACTATCGGTGGAGGATAGCCATGATTGTTGTAGAAAATGCATGATGATTAGGTAAATTGAAACAAATCAATTGGATTATGTCATTGAATATGACGGTAGGATTATGTCATTGAATATGACGATTAAATTAACACATTGAATATGTGATTTAATTGGTCATTGTATATGACAACGTGTTTAAATACATTGCATATGTATCTTGTTTGGGAGGAGATAGGGGATGTACTCCATTGTTTGGGAGGAGATAGGGAATGTACTCCATTGTTTGGAAGGAGATAGGAGATGGACTCCATTGATAATTATGTTGGTCGGAGTGTCCAGGGTGAAAGTCCCGAAATCTTATATATATTTGGGTGCTATTTCCTTTGGACGTAGTTCCGTAAAATGGCAAGTGAATGGAAGTGTATGAATGATGTTTATGATTGAAGTGTTGATAAATGAGTTGTAGTCTCGTTTCGAATTGTTTGAATAACAATGAGCTATGTAAATGAATTGATTTTGATAAATAAAGGGGAGTGGATTGATTAGGATGTAGTGGATTTGATGTAAGTTGGTTTACAAGTGTTAAATATTTATCGGATACTAATGTTTTAGTTAATTCTCATATGTTGTTTAGCATATCTTTACTGGGCTTTGGCTCACCCTGCTTGAGACACCATTTTTCAAGTACAGGTGATATATCGCCTTCGAGATCTTAGCTTGGGAGGTTTTGGAGTTGAAAACTCCCTTTTGTTATTCGTTTTGATGTTAAATGTATATTTAAGCCTAGGACTTTTTATGTATAGAGTTAGGACTCTTTTGTTGCAACCAAGCGATGACTTGGAAAGCTGTAAGCCTGTAGGGTATTCATTTTGTTGCGATCATGTAATATCCATCGTGATACAAACTCTGATGAACGAAAAGATGATATTTCTATTATGCTTTATGGATTTATTGAATGGTTGGATTATGTCTTATTTTGAAGGCGTTACATATATTAAGGCATGTGTTTGATTAACCTGGTTGTGTTTGATATCCATGTGACACAGGTCATACTATCTGTTCTCAGAGAGCTACACACTACATATTTCAATTATTTCGTTAGAAATAAATTATTCTCTCATTAGTTTCAAAATCATTCTAAATCAATTTCAATCGTTCTAAATCAATTTCAATTATTTCGTTAGAAATAAATTATTCTCTCAGTTGTTTCAAAATCAACCTTGCTACATCATTTTATATAGGGATTTAATTATGAGCCATCTGCAAGGAATGACATTCTGATTTGTTTTTTTCTTTTATCATACATTATCCACGAAAATCAGCTTTTCCATTTTAGATGTTGGGTTATATCTGGAACTTGAGAAATGCCGTCGGTTAGTCTATTACTGCCTTAAATTGATTCTAATTTCTGTTTTGTTTACAACACCCCTCTTTCTTCCTTCGTTTCCTGTTCTTCAGTGAATGCAGTCCATTGTTTTCAAAAAGATCCATCAACCTATTCCAAGCTGAATTTTTGAGGAAACAAAACTAAATGATTTTTACATAGTTTTCATTACACAATCTTGTTCTTGAAGTCCTAGTTGGTAATGTGCAGGCACATGAAGATGCACGGCAATACATGACTAGACCAGTGCCATACTATAAAGATTTGTGTGGGATATGTAGAGAATTGGGCAGTGATGGAAGAGACAGTGTCTCAGATCATAATTTAGACCAACAAGACAATATCCCAGAAGTTAAGTTTGCTAGACCATTGAACAATTTTCAATATCCAGTTGAATCAGTTTCTAGTGAAGAAGTGAAGATCAAGCTGGTGATGTACAGGAGCCATCGCATGAGGGTTTTAAGAACAAGCGCCATTTAGAAAACACATCATATTCTGCACATTCCAAAAAAGGTTGGGGTAATAATGAGGGCATGTCTAGTGCTCTTCGTGAGATGGAAACTGCAGTTTCTTGTTTGGCAGATAAGAAAAAGGATGACGAGGACTCATGCTCCATATCAGTAGAGAATGTGATAGAAGCAATCCAGGCCTTACCTGACATGGATGAAGACTTTATTTTGGATGCTTGTGATTTGTTGTAGGATGAAAAGAAAGCAAAAACATTTTGGGCATATTGGATGTTAAACTGAGAAAGAAGTGGCTGATTAGGAAGCTTCGTCCACAACATTAGTTGATCTTTTAACCCTTTTCTTTTTTTCCTCGTCAAGTTTACCAAACTAATTAATCTTGAACAATGCAGTTGGTGTTTCTGTATATCAATTTTTTGATTGACCAAACCGACTTTGCTGTTCATCCTTAAGAGACAATGAATTTCAACTAACTTGGTAGTGAAATTTGTTTTATGCTGTATTTGCTGTTTCTGTTTCCATTTTAATTGCCTGTAAGAAAGAAAAGAAGTTTGGATGTCTTCTTTGAATGTCATGCTGTTTCCAATTCTAACAATGAAAATAAAATGAGGTGAATTTCTTGGCATGTGATGAGGCTGGCATGGTGTATGTTATCGCTAGCAAAGGCGGGAGAGATGAAATTGGGAGTGTTTAAAGTGGCTACGTTGATTAGGATTGTGTAAAATATTGCTCAATCTGTTAAAATTACACCGATTTGTATTAATTTGCACCGTTTTAATTGTTAACTGCGGTTTAAACTTTAAAATTTATAATTAACCTTCTAAATCGTTTTACTATAATTAATACATATATATTTTTTAACCTTCAATAAAATATCAGTGTAAAAATGAATGTGTGAGAGATTTAAGATATGAAATTTATTACAAATTAGTAATTATATATATGAAATATATTATGTAAAATCACTTTGTATTATATATATAACAAATATTATACAAATTAATATTATATATTATGTAAATCTATGATAATTAGTTAAAATATCTTTTAATCTGCTCATCTGTCAAAAACCGTTCAAATCCCAATTTGTTAATCCACTGACCTGTCATTTAATTTGTAATTTTACTCTCAGACTGATCGAACAGCACCGCACAACACATAACTCTAATTAATAGTCAAAGTTTAAATATATGAGTAAAGAGACAGAAAAGTAAGGGATCGATGGAGGTGACAAGACATGTTAGGTATGAAAAATGAGTAATATGCGAAAAAAATATTGAAAATAATGAAGATCAACTTTTGTTTTATGCAAAACATAATTAAAACAGTGTATAGTTGTTGATAATATATATCTAATAAATGTATATTATTTTTCATAAGGATTAATGTTCGAGATTTTAAAATTTTTATTAAAATTTTTATCAAATATCTTATATAGATGTAAGATCCATACAATATAATTCTTATATAAATCGTATATTTATGTGAAATATTTGATAATTTTTTTGAATTTCTAGCATTTTTGTTTCCACAAGTCAAATTTATTTTGTGAACATCCCCGTCCTCAATTAATATTTTGCCACGTATATAAAACGGTTTCCGGGTTAACGATTGACCCGGAACCCACCCGCCGAAAACATTTCAATCAGCACATGAAGAGAGTGCTCTGTATCTGTACGCAAAACCCTAGAATTTTGATTTTCAGTTGCTTCTTCAATTGAAGATCTGTAGAGTTAGCGTTTTAGCTTTCGATTTCATTGGCATGGCGATGAGGAATCGAACAACTGTGTTCAGAAAGCACAGACAGACTTTGAACAGTAATCGTTTTCCTGAGATTTCTTATTCTTCTTCTTCTTCTAATTCAACGTTTGGTGGTCCGGTGATTGAAATGGCCACCACATCATTTCTTCATTCCAATCGGTCCTACACTCCTCTTAGCACGGACGACCCTGGCCCTTCCAGGTACAATAGTGATGTGTCTAGAATGTTCAAAACCCATTTATGAATTCTAGGGTTTAGAAATTTTATTGCTTTATCTTTCATGATTCTTTGGCACAGATTTTTCAGGTATTTAAGCCATTTGATTGCATAATTTTTGGTAATGTTTCTCAAATTTAACCAAACTGTTTAAAGTTGGCATATTTTGGTAGTATAGTATAGGATAAATAGTCAATAAGTTGTATAGGTTTTTTCACAGAATTCTATGTTTTGCAAGGATTGATACTATAACCCTTCCCTTGTCCTGAATTCTTGCTTAGCGTTAACTATTTGAAACATTCTTTTGTTAAACTGTTTAAGGTTCAATGTGATTTGGAATCTATGACACTGAATTTAAGCTCTGAACAAATCCTGATCCTTGCTGTCCATTAATCCTTCTTGTTCCATCTCACCTCTATGATTGCAAAACTTTTCACAGACCTATCTCCTTCCCATAAGCTTCAAGTGATAGCTTAGAGAAATGAATATACCCTAGCCTCTCCTTGGGCAAGGAACACTAAGCTTGCAACTTTTGTAACCCTATAAAATCATTTCTTAAAAAGTATAACATTATTAAAAAGAGCCCAAGCTAAAATTCCAACAGCCTCTGTTTAATTTTTTCTCATTTGAAATAGTTTTATGCATGCCAAACTTCATGTTTATGGGAACTTTATGTTTGGTTTGGTTTTTAGAATCTTTCTTATGATTTTTTTTAAAAAAAAAACTAAAAACTAATCTAGTGAAAATATAATAATAAATAGAAAACACTCAATTTACCTTTTTTGGGGGCAAAAATATATTTTAGTGATCGTTGTATATGGAGGTTGGTAGCAAAGCATGATGAAGTTTGGGATTGTGAGACATGACAAGAAAAAATGTGGGATGACTGGTTCTCAAAAATAAAAGAGGTAGTTGGCTGGACAGTGAATTGGGGAGCTTGAAGGTTACTTCACTTGAGGTGCTGTCTTTTACTTGACACCAGAAAAGCAAAGTGTGAGCAATTATGGGAGTATGCCCTAGAATACGGGTGCAGTGTTCTGTGTTTGGCCGTGTGATAGGTTGTATAGATGAATCTCTCTCACTAACCCTCACCATTGTCCATGCTATTATGCTTTGTGCCATAATTTCATCATTTGAGTTTCATGACTTGGACTATGCGATGCTGTTTTCATTTACTGGAAGCCATATTTTTAGTCCAACATGACATCAAATATCTATCATTTTCTTGCTGCAGTAATGATGCGTTTACTGTGGGCCTGCCTCCAGATTGGGTGGATGTTTCTGAAGAAATAGGTGCCAATATACAGCGTATTAGAGGTAAAATGAGAGAGTTAGTCAAGGCTCATGCAAAGGCTTTAACACCCTCTTTTGGAGATGGCAAAGAAGATCAACGTGTTATAAATGCTCTTAGCCTGGAGATTACAGATCTATTAAGGAAGTCTGAGAAGAGATTACATAAACTTTCTGCAAGTGGGCCATCTGAGGATTCAAATATTAGGAAAAATGTGCAGGTATGGTTCTGATATTTACCTGTATTTTCTGCTGTTATTATTTCTTGATTTTCTTCTCATCATAAACCATAAGGAGACTTATACATCAGATGACATCATAATTCACTGCAGCTGGATTATGCACCAACTGTTGTATTTACATTGCCCTTGTTCGTTTACGTACTATATTGCTTCATTTCTCCCTCTTACTCTCACCTTGCCCTGATGTGGTGTATCAGTTGGACCATTGTATATTTTTCTGACACATTTACTACTTAGTTCAATTTCTTCTCATTGGAGACTATAATGAAAAATGTACATCAGATGACATTATAATTCACTGCAGCAGGATGATGCATTTACCATTGAAATGCCAATGCCTATGTTTGATACATATATCATTTTACTTCCTCTCTTGTTCTAGTTTGGTATGTCAGTTGGACCTTTCTTTTCTATGTTTTCTCTTGACGTATTGACTTTTTAATTCTGGTATTGGAGTTCATAAAAGAAATTTCTAACTCTTCTACTTTTGATCATATTAAAGACATTGATCATTTGTTACTTCTTGCTAAGCTAAAACTAGGTGATTGTACTTATTTATCACAAAAAAAAAAAACTAGGTGTTTGGTACTTGGCCTCGTCCTTTTGTGTGTGTGTGTGTGTGTGTGTGTGTGGGGTTTCTTAGGGGGGAGAGATTGTTAAGGGAACATATCTAATAGGAATTGCCACTCCTAAGGAGTGAGGTGGAAGGTGCAATTTTCATTTGAGACAGTAGTGTGTGTATAACTTGCTAAATGCTAAAACATAAATGCACGTAGAAATTTGTCTCTGTATATAAGTTAGCATTGATAAGAGCTAGGGATGCAAATTGGGTTGGTTGAATTGAACCGGAGCAACCCAAACCTAGCCTTATTTTTTTGGTCCTGGACAAGTTTATTTTAAGAACTTGTGTTGGGCTCGGGCAGGATTTTATAAGCCTGCATTCAGTTTAGGCCATGCCTAAGCAAAGGCATCAGGAGTCCGAAGCATAAGTAATACTATATATATATATATATATATATTTATAACATATTACATATAAAACTGTCGACCATTGGATTAAAAATGTGATTAACCTAAACTTATTAGTCCCCTCTTTGACTCTTCATCTTTGATTCTCTGCCTAATCCCCAGCTTCCTCTTGCTCTCCATAACCAATCACCCAAAATCAACATCTACCATGCCACCACCACTGCACATGACCACCATCATCACTCACCCAATCATCCCCACAACACGTAATCACACAAGTCATCACCACTGTAAACATCATCCACTATCATCACATCCCACAACGACCATCACCACCCACCGTGCACAACCATCAGGGAGTTGCACAGAGTCAGGGAATGGATTTGGCCACGAATTGGTTGGTCTGACTGTGGGTCTGTGAGTGAAGTTTGGTGGGTGTTAGATCTATGCTCAAAATTATCAATTCTCAGATTTTGGGTGATCAATTTTTGTGAACAATCTGAACTTGAATGTATGTTTGCTTTATAAATGAGCAGAACAAACCTGGAACATAAGATTCATATGTGGGTGTTTGGGAAGTGGGTTTTTATGTAGGTTTTTTTAGTTTTAGGATATTATTGGATAAAAAATTTTTAGTGTTTGGGAAGATAGTTGGGTTTTTTTGTAGTTGGATGTGATGCTTGTGAGAGAAAAAGTGAAATGATTATGGGGTTGGATGTGATATTTTGTTTGGATGTGTTTTTTTTGGTTTTGCAAAAAGTTTGTCTTTTAGTGAAAAAAATCAAAAAAAAAATCCTAAACCCAAGTTCCCAAACACCACCATAGTCTGTCAATACATATGTATACATGGCATCAATCGATGTAGAGGATTTTTTTTTCCTCCTTTTTCAGATTTTGGGTGATCAATTTTTGTGAACAATCTGAACTTGAAAGTATGTTTGCTTTATAAATGAGCAGAACAAACCTGGAACATAAGATTCATATGTGGGTGTTTGGGAAGTGGGTTTTTATGTAGGTTTTTTTAGTTTTAGGATATTATTGGATAAAAAAATTTTAGTGTTTGGGAAGATAGTTGGGTTTTTTTGTAGTTGGATGTGATGTTTGTGAGAGAAAAAGTGAAATGATTATGGGGTTGGATGTGATATTTTGTTTGGATGTGTTTTTTTTGGTTTTGCAAAAAGTTTGTCTTTTAGTGAAAAAAATCAAAAAAGAAATCCCAAACCCAAGTTCCCAAACACTACCATAGTCTGTCAATACATATGTATACATGGCATCAATCGATGTAGAGGTTTTTTTTTTCCTCCTTTTCTTTCTGCTGATGATCAAAATGCTTGGTGTTCTTTCGTCACTTTGTTTTTTTTCTTCAATCACATCAACAATATGCTTTCAAACCGAAGCTGCACCTTTCTTTTTGTACTGTATAACTCGTATATTCTGGCAAACTGAGCTTATTAAGTTAGGCTTGGGCTGGGCATTGTGAGATTTATGTCAGGCTTGGGCTGGTCTAGGAAAATCATAATGTGTCTTGGCGTTAGGCCTATGTGAAGCTTGGGTAACCAGCTTAGGGTATGATGAGATATCACCCCTTATTTATAAATGAAGATTTAGGGTTTACAAAGAAGACAATTACAAGATGATCCCTGAGTGCGTAAAAATGATTACAGATCCTAGAGACTTTCGGCTAATATAATATGCTAAGTGCCTTTCGGTGATTATAATATGTCAACACTATGCAAGCCCCAAACCCGCTGTCCAACCCTAATAAGAGCTTTATGTTTTTGGTGTCATGATCAGATGGATTGCTTACATTTAATTATTTTCCAACAGCATTCTCTTGCTACGGACCTTCAGAAACTTTCTATGGAGCTTCGGAAGAATCAGTCAACATATTTGAAACATCTACAGCAGCAGAAAGAGGTTTGCATTATTATACATGCACAAACACACAATCATGCACGTCTCTACTGCTTAATGCATAATTATATAAACTTTAGTTGTTTGTGAGGGAATTCAACTGGCATTGGAAACCATAAATATCTTTGACTGTTTTTCTCCTAAAAATTACAACTTTTCCTCCTAACTGTTTGTTAACTTTTCCGGAATTGCTAGGTGCCAATACAGTCTGGTTTGATTCAAGATATCTTAGAAGTGCTGGCACTCTTTGAATGTTGCTCCATTATTGATGTGTTTGTTTCATGTCGTAGGGACATGATGGGCTTGATTTGGAGATGAACATGCATGAAAATAAATCTAGATTGGAAGTTGATGAATTTGGAGATACGGTAAGCAGTTCCTTTGGTTTTAGTAGTTTACCTTACATCCCCTTTCTAGAATCCGTGAGCAAGTCCTGTTTGGGAAGCCAGAGTTCAGGAATTCCTTCTTGTTGGATTATAATAATCATTTTAATTAATAGAAAGGGTAACACCAAAAAGATCAATGTATCTGTAGAGCCTTACTTATGGTTTATGAATTTTGGCCATAAAGGGAAGTTGGGAACCCTGACTTTGTGACCTTACATCCTATGCTGTGTCGGACGCCATATACGAAATCCTGATATTTGAAGTAAGCAACTTTTTTCTCCAATATGAATATATGGTTAATTAATCCAGGGTTTTAATGATCATCAAATGGCCAAGCTGAAGACAAGCGAAAAGTTCACTGCTGAAAGGGAAAGGGAGATCAGACAGGTAACTGAAGGCAATTTACTCCCTACCATTAGTGTCAAAATCTACTGTCTCCTTTTTTTAACTATAAATAAAGGTTTTGTAGGTTTTGGAATCTGTTAACGAGCTAGCCCAAATCATGAAGGATCTCTCTGTTCTAGTGATAGATCAGGTTAAAGCTTCATACTTATGCCCACATGCTTCTTTATCAATCTATTACTGACAGTTGATAATCTTCTACAGGGCACAATTGTTGATCGGATAGACTACAACATTCAGAATGTTGCTGTATCAGTAGAGGAGGGATTTAAACAGTTACAGAAGGTCTCTCTCCCTCTCTCTCTCTCACACACACACACACACACACACACACGGACACTTCCTCTTATCTTAGTTTGCTATGATTCCTAGAACGCAAGTCATGTTGTGTGGATGCTGTCATGCTAAATATATTGAAATTGCAGGCAGAGAGAACTCAGGCGAAAGGGGGGATGGTGAGATGTGCAACAGTGCTTGTTATCATGTGCTTCATCATGCTTGTCCTCCTGGTCCTCAAGGAGATATTCCTGACACGATAGTCTTAGATTCCATGCTCAAGTCACGTGTTGGCTAGAACAGAATTCAAAGGGGATTTTTTGTGTGGATATTTTTTCCTCATTATATGGATGCTGAAATTTTGAAGGAACAAAAAACGGGATTTTTGAAGACAGTCCCTGTTATCTTCAGTTGCAGGAAATGTATATTGGTTGGATCTCCCTCTCCCTCTCTCTCTCTTGGTGAGAATTTGTTGCAACATCCACTGTACATAATGTGTGTGTATTACAACTAGAGTTAGGAACTTCAGAATTGAAAGATTGAATCAACAGTTTTTTTCCCTCTGCTTTCTTTGTCTGGCTTTTCTTTTTTTTTTTTCGTTTTTTGTTTTTTTGTTTTTTGGATGATAAAAAGGATATTTTGAGTTATTATCACGGCAGCTGACTCTGGATGGTAGTTATTGTTGTTAAGAGTATTACCCTATAGAAATGTATTTCTTGACACCCAGCCAAATTATTAAAATTTGGTTGCCACTTTTGGTATTAACCTGTTGTACCTTGCTCTAGCGAAAAAAATTGCCCTGGCAATAGGGCTGAGAAATACGAGTAAGCTTAAGCTTAAGATTTTTAATGGTACAAGGATGGAATCTGATTTTTTCCCCTCTTTGGCAAGTTCTGAACATCTCTTCGTTTATGTGCATGTGTTGTTTGCTACAACTCTTTAACAATGATCAATGTGAGGCCTTTGAAGAGTTGGGACACAGAACCTTCCAAATGATGTTTTCATCACATGAAATAAACCATGATAAAAGTTTGTTGCCACTACAAGCAAAAGATCTAGAGAGCAACTCTGCATAATTTAAGTGGGTACTATCGTTGGACTTTACGTAAAAACATGAGAACAATTAAAAGTTTAATCGAATTGGCCGATTTGGAGAGATGCGAAAAATGAAGTAAGAAAAAAATGCACACCACCACACAATGTAATTGAGAGAAGTTATTTCAAGCTTTTTGGGAATTGATCCAATGCAATTAGAAGCCACATGATGGCGTGAAATTTACTCTTAAATGTACTTAGGCCTTTGAAGAGTTGGGACACAGAACCTTCCAAATGATGTTTTCATCACATGAAATAAACCATGATAAAAGTTTGTTGCCACTACAAGCAAAAGATCTAGAGAGCAACTCTGCATAATTTAAGTGGGTACTATCGTTGGACTTTACGTAAAAACATGAGAACAATTAAAAGTTTAATCGAATTGGCCGATTTGGAGAGATGCGAAAAATGAAAGTAAGAAAAAAATGCACACCACCACACAATGTAATTGAGAGAAGTTATTTCATGCTTTTTGGGAATTGATCCAATGCAATTAGAAGCCACATGATGGCGTGAAATTTACTCTTAAGGCAATGTTTGTTTGGGCGGACTGGATTAGCATTCCCATGACTAATAGTCCTAGGATTACGAATCCGTTGGATTATGTATCCTATCTTAACTAATAGTCAAGTTTAAAATAATTAATCCGTACTTCAATTGTTTAACCAAACATCGGATTAATAATTTTATTGAACTATTAATCCAATCCCAAGCTCATGTCCATCCAAACAAACATTGCCTAAATGTACTTAAATACATTGTGGTGACATCTTAGGAAACATATATATTTTTAATAAATTAGATTTGTAAGTCTCACTAGGTCATTGATTTTTTTGTTTATTTTTATTTTTAAACGATTGTGTTGGGCTTTAATTAAAAAACATGTTAATTACACTTGACGTTCTCACATTGTTATTAAAACGTCATTTTTTATCCTTTTATTTTCAATCATGTGATAATTTCTCAATTTATCATGTGATCATATGACCTTTTTATTTTTAATCATGTGGTAATTTCTCAATTTATCATGTGATCATTCCATCCGTGTCTCACATTAATAAAATTAACATGTTAAACATGAAATTAGTTCTAGGTTCAACCAGAAAAAAAAAAAAAAAAGAGGTGAAATTTGTGTGAATAGGAGTTATTGAGAAATTAGTATGGAATTTTGATTGAATTATAGGAAACCAACTATATTAATTGGATAAATTATTATTATTATTTTTTTTCGGGATATGCTCTTCTGTTGTCTGCAACTGGACTAGAGAGTGTTGGATCATGGTAGGCTCTGATTTGGATTCATTTGGATGATTTAAACTGTTCAAGATAAAAACCTTGTTGAATACATTATTCATGTAAAAGATCACGTTGATCAGCTATCGATAATCATTTGATCAAATCATATTTGTGTTAACGATAGTTATGATTTTCAAAATAAATTGTTGACAAAAATATAATCTAATCAAGTTACCATCGAGATCCAATAAATTTATTTATTTTTTTACAAAAATAACACACGGACCTTAATTTAAATTATGGAGATGGGCCGAATCAAAACCCACCATGGCATGGAGAGGAGCTGCCCCTTTTTTATAATTGTATTTGTCTGTTTGTTAATTATTGATATGTGTGATATATAAAAACTGTACACCAGGTACGGAGACTAGAGCCGCTACCCACCGAACTATGAGCCCAGTAGTTTTCCTGATGAAAGTTAACAGCTTCCTTACTTTTAGGTTTTGACTGTTTTAGAAAAGAAAAAAAAAAAACAAACATACCCACAAACCCTATTCTCTCTACTACTCTTCACTGCTACTGTATAAGATGTTTGATGTGTCATCATCAAGTGTATATATTTTAGTAAAATAGAGATTAAAAAATATATATGTAGTCGTGGATTTGGTTTGGTTTGTGGGATATTATCATCAATGTCTGTAACAAAAGAGAAACATAGTACTTGTACTACTAATCTTGAGTTTCCGGCTGGTCTTAGGGTTCTTGCTGTAGATGATGATTGCACATGTCTCCAAATACTCGCAAAGATGCTTCAGACTTGTCGCTATGAAGGTTTCAACGTCTTCTTTATATCTGTTTCTATACATATATGTGTGTGCGCGCACGCGCCCAAATCCACACACAATATAAAAAAATACTCTTTTCTAGATTTTTATTTGCATATATATACACATTGACATATATAAATTAATGTTACTAGGAACTATACACTTAAATATCTTCTTCTTCTTTTTTTCTTTGTTAATACATTGAGGGGTAATTTATAGCCTCCTATATTGTGGTTTTGAAAAAAAAAAAAAAAAAAAAATCTTATTAGATTTTTTTTGGGAGCTGTTTACAGTAACAACATGTTCGAGTGCACAGGATGCTTTATCAATCCTTCGACAGGGAAAAAGTAAGTTTGATATTGTCATAAGCGACGTACACATGCCCGACATGGATGGATTTAAACTTCTTGAAATCATTTGTTTAGAAATGGACCTGCCTGTTGTCAGTAAGTTTTTCTTTTTTTTCAATAAAAAATAATAATTTTAATTTAGTACTTGTCATATGATGAAAATAATAATTTTAATTTTAGGTTTTTCATTTATTTTTTATTTTTTATTTTGTAATTATGTTGTATTATCGATCCAGTGATGTCTGCGGATGATGAAAATGATGTTGTTATGAAGGGTATCATCGATGGTGCGTGTGATTATTTAGTTAAACCTGTTCGGATGGAAGCTATTAAGTATCTGTGGAAGCATGTGGTCCGCAAGCAGAAATATGGTTTGAAGGCGATAGAGCAATCGAAGAATGAGGACAATGACGAAATAATGAACCAAAAACAGTTGAATGCTGAAAGCCATATAACCTCAATGGATACGAAAAACTGTGGAAGCTCAAATTGCGAAAAGGATGAGGAAGAGGAAGGGAAAGACAAGGATGATTCGGTGTCACTTAAAAAGCCGCGAATGGTTTGGACACCCGAGCTTCATCAACAATTTGTTGCTGCTGTGAATCAAATTGGCCTCAAAAGTATGAATTCATTTATTTATTGCTTGTATCACTTTTCGTTTTAATTCTTTTTTATGCTTCTTCTCTTTGTTTTTTCTTTTAATGGGAAATTTGTTTCCTTAATATGTTATGTTGTTTTACTCATTAAGGGAAAATTTGGTAAATAGTGTTTTTTTTTTTTTGTTAATCAAAGAAAAAAAGAAGCTTATCTGATTAAATTGTGCTTATGAAGTATTTTTATGTAGGTTTTGCCACGAAAGGCTTATTTGATATTTTGTGATAATAAATGCGGTATAAATGCAGATGCTGTTCCGAAGAAAATTTTGGAGGTTATGAATGTTTCTGGTCTTACAAGGGAAAATGTTGCTAGCCATCTCCAGGTATAGCACATACAATTTTAGTAATATTATTTTCTTTTGTAGTAGAGGAAATTAATACATTTCATATTTTGTATAGAAATATCGTTTATATCTTCGAAGGGTGGATGATAATTCACCACACGAATGTAAATTCAGTAAACCTTTGATGCACTCCCAAGAAATAAATCTCCAACTTGCTTCTTCCAACATTGAATTTCAAGATCAACCTCATCAATTGCAAAGTTTACCTATTCCAGAAGTAGGACAACAAAGATCAAATGCAATCTACAATAGTGATATTCCTCTCCCTAATCAAAGGAACTTTTATCACTACGGAATGGCAGAATCCAGATTTGGAATGGGACAACTGAGCATTTGTAGCAGAGATGTGAATTTATCTTCTGAAGTTCCAACTATTATCGAATCAGATCAGTTAACATCCTTAAACAAATTTGCTCGAGGTTCTAGAAACATTGGTTTGCAAATTTGTGATGAAACATCAGACAAATTCAACTCATTGACGATTGCTAACAGTGTTCATGGAAATTTGGCAAGTTCATCTACAATTGAAAGGCCATCTAAGATGCAGAAGTTGAATCAATATGCAAGCAATGAGGCTTTCAATAATGGGGCAATACGCTATTCTGTTTCTACTTCGCCTACAATAACTAAATTGTATGGGCAGAATAGTTTCGATACATCTTATGTGGGAAATGGAACACCAGTGTACATATCAGATTCAAACTATGAGTTTGTTGAACATTTTGACCAAGATGATTTTAATATTAGGCCCTATGACGAGGTTAGTTTATGTTGTGACTTTAATCTACATGATTGATATTTTAATTTCTATGTATATAATTAATGGCTGAAAATTAAATAATTTTTGTTTGCTTTCTTGCAGCAATTTGTTGGACATGCTGAAGACAGATTTGATTTTGATAGCTATCCCACAGACAAAAATTCTATGTAAGAGAAGTCCATCCATGTTTTCTCATGTATATAGTGACTTCAAGAATTTTTGTTTCTTTCGACAACAATTGAACATAATAGTGTTCCATTAGATGCTCTTTGAAGATGTTTCTAATGTAGTTGGGTGGTTTCAAGATTATGTTAACTTGGTGATTTGGAGATAAATTTGAGTTGTTTTGTTTATCTATTTGCCGATATATTTTTTGATAGAATTTGTTGCATGATTGCCTATAACATTTTTGATAGTAAATTTGGAAATTAACACAAGAAACTTAAACAAGAAAAAATTTAATATTCAAATGAAAGATTGAAAATTTTAATTTTTGATATCACTACAAGAAAATGCATTTTTGGCAACTAAAGTTTTAGTTGCCAAAAGTAAGGTTTTTAGTCCCCGAAGCCTTTTCCCGACTAAATATTTTGGTCGCTAGATTTGTCGCGGAAAAACGGTCAGTGAAGGTTTTGGCGACTAAAAGAATTTAGTCGCCAAAAGTTCTATAAATGGCTACTAATGTTTTAGTAGGGAAAAGTATGAGGTATTGCCGACTAAATATTTTTTAGTAGCCAAAAGTCATAAACTGGCGACTAAGTATTTAGTCGCCAAAAGTTTTCAAATAAAATTAATTTCCATTTTCAGCGATTAAAACTTTTAATCGCCCAAAATATCATTTATTATTAGTTACTAAATATTTAGTAGCTAAAAAAATATATATTTTTTACTACTAAATTTTTAGTCACCAAAAAATCTTTGGTTTGTTTTTAGTTACTAAATTTTTAGTAGCCAACAAGTTTTATTTTATTTTTTTGGCTGCTAAATATTTAGTCACCAAAAATTTTATTTAGTGTTATTTTTTATTATTATTATTAATTTCTGCACAACCTGTATTTATTTCGTGCAACCTGCACCCTGTATATAAACAAAACAATACATATGTCTATTTCTGTTTCACTTTCAACCATCCAAAAATTTGGTCTTGTAACATCAAATTCTATACAAACCAAATATAATCCAATCCAAAATAATAATTCCATACAAAAAATAATCATACAAAAATGATATCCTCCATATACAAAAAAGAAATATCCACTAGTAATCTATACCACCAGAAAATAACTTCATCTCTGTTGGATCAACAACTATTGCAGTAATTGATAGTGAAAAAGCTTGAGTTTGTAACAAGGTCTCATAACTACAATACGAAAATAAGTCATTTCGAGAAACAAAAATACTCATGCTAGGAAGATATTATTATGAAACATTTAACATAATTATTAACCTTGCATGTGCCATCGAGGGAGCTTGATAAAAAATTTGAACTTGAGCTTGATAAAACATTTAACAACAATACTCATGCTAGGAAGATATTATAAAGAGTTTTTTCTTTGTCAATACTTGGATTGGACTTTTTCATTAATATAATCATGACATTTGCCTAACCAATTGTTTTAAACCATCGCATCATGTTTTGGATGAGAAGAAAGAAGAAAATCAACCAGGACACGAGGGGGAAAAAAAAAAAAGAACATGAAACACTTGTTATCGATTTCAACACATTTTTCACAGTTGTCCCCATAATTTTTATAAATATCATTAACACGTCATTTTGGATATATTTTCTATTTAAACTATCTGTTTTTAAAATATCCAAAAAGTATGGGATACTTGTAAACAGGGAATCATCTCAATTCACCTCCAATTAATCCAGACAGACAGTAGAATTAGATATTCGACATGCACTGAGAAAATTTGTAAGTATTAACACAATATTCACATAATGAGAAGATGAAGTGACATATTTTTCCTCATTTATCACTAACATTTATATGATCCTAGCATTCCTTGTTTTGTATTGGCATTTGTAACCATACAATATTACAAATTGCATTTTCTCAACCTACGGGTCCGAATAACATTCCGTCAATTGTCACAAGTCATATTTGGCATGGGAAAGCTGTTCGTGTCGGCCACAATGCAGATCAAGAGCTATTTTGAATTTTCGCCCCCGAAACGCCATTTTTCTACTAAGTTTTGGGCGTATTCATCTCTAAATCCCAACCTACGAGTCCGAATAACATTTCGTCATTTGTCACAAGTCCTATTTGGCATGAGGAAGGTGTTCATGTTGACCATACGGCAGTTCGGGGGCTGTTTTCAATTTTTGCTCCCGAAACGTCCCTTTTCAACTAAGTTTTGGGCGTATTCGGCTCTAAATCCCAACATATGGGTCCAAATAACATTCCGTCAATTGTAACAAGTCATATCTGGCATGGGGAAGCTGTTCGTGTCGGCCACACGGTGGATCAAGGGCTGTTTTGAATTTTCACCCCCGAAATGCCATTTTTTGACTAAATTTTGGGCGTATTCGTCTCTAAATCCCAACCTATGGGTCCGAATAACATTTCGTCATTTGTCACAAGTCCTATTTGGCATGGGGAAGGTGTTCGTATCAGCCACATGGTGGTTTGGGGGCTGTTTTGAATTTTCGCCCCCGAAACGTCATTTTTCGACTAAGTTTAGGACGTATTCGGCTCTAACTCCCAACCTACGGGTTCGAATTACGTTCCGTCAATTCTCATAAGTCCTATTTGTCATGGGGGAACTGTTCGTCTAAGCCACACGGTGGTTCGGGGGCTGTTTTGATTTTTCGCCCCCAAAACGTCCTTTTTCGACTACGTTTAGGTCGTATTCGACATTGTGTGAGACAGACAATTACCCGCCAATATATTTTCACATCCTAGTTAAAATACATGCAAATTCAATTCATATGACAAGCTAATTACGTAAATTCGTGTCAAACTAGGGATTAAAAAAGACCTAGAGGCATGCAAGGAAATATAACTATGACTCAGAAATCTTACATGAACTCCAAGGCATGCACTGCAGAGTTTTAAATCGTGTTGAAGACGAGTTACTCCTCCAGTCCCAGTAGGAAGCATTAATTCTTCATTGCTCCATCTATTCTTTAGTGGCCTTGGGACAGAATTTGAAAAGCAATACCACATATACAAAAATTAATTCATAAATAGAGCACATATCAAATATAGACTAGTCAACTTATGTATGGTATAGCAACAATAGGGAAACAAGAAGGAAATAAAATCAGAACATTCTTTTGTTCATGTCATTCAGCAAGGAAATACATTGCTCGGTTTGTTTGTTTGTTTTTTTTTTTTCAATGAAGAACCTGATTTTCATTTTCTTCATCAATTTTGCTGATTCCAATGAAGAATGTGTTGAAATGTTTAAATCGACTCAAAAATTTAATGCAAACTGAAAGAGCGAACCATTTCACTTCCATGTGACATCCTAAAACACATTTCAGAATAAACAAGATCAAGGAAATTTGCACGGAACTTTGACACCAACCTGGCAGCATAATTATTTCGAGAATGGAATGCTTGATATTCTAATGGACATATTTGCCCAGATATTCTTCTGCGGTCATGTAATTGGAGGTCCAACTACAACAAATTTAGTTTCAAGTCGAGAACTCCACCATGGCAAGTTAAATAGATAGGTATTTTGGAATAGCATACAAATTTCAAGAGAATGCTCATTAGATGGTACATGACAAAAGGCGAGGAACCAAAACTCGCCTCGGACGAAGCCAGAAACTGATACATTGCACTCTGAACATGACATGAACAGAAATCTTTTAAGTACACAGTGGGGCAGTTAAAACTAAAACTGTGTTCTTTCTAAGAAACTACTAAATTAACAATCACACATGAATGAATTACCTGTGGCATGCTATTAAGGTCCCCATCAAGTATTGCAGGAATGTTGCCCCATTCTTGTGATAGTTTATGGGCCTTCTTAGAGCCACACAAACTAATACACGTGGAGAGAGAGAGAGAGAGTAACACACAAACTAATGTCTTAGAGCCACTATAAATTCATTCATCTCCTATCAGCAGTGAAGTAATATGCCAAACCAAATTTCTCCCTCTTTTCTCCCTCCATCCTTCCCTTACCACCTCTCTTAGTCAAAATGTACACAAAAGAGGCCAATTGAGCTAACTCAATTGATTATCTATTTGATTAACTATAACATCTAAGTTTTAAAATATTGGTTTTTTTTTTTTTAGATAGTAAAACATTGATTTTTATTTTTTTTTATAGGCCTTGTTTTTATATCAAAATTGGGTGTCTTTTACAAAACATTCCATCAAATCGTAACATATATATACATAAAAAAAATTTAAAATAAATAAAACCTTGAGAAATTTGGGATCTAAAACTAGAGTTTTGTTGACTATATATGGTTGAATCCAGGAAAGAGGCACTAGTTTGAGAAAGGAAAATAAACCTGAGATATGCGAAGCTTTACTCCTGGATCAAGTTGAAAACAAGGTGTACACATAATTCCAACAAATCAAAGCTTTCCATACCATGGAAAAATGAGAGATTTAAAATAGTATTCTATATGGATTGGAATAGTATTAATTTTAAACCTATGAGAGATTTAAATTCAAACTAAAATTTAATAATTAAAAAGTAGAAAATAAATGTATCTCTTTCTCAGCTTTCCAATAATCAATCTTTCCCCGGCTAATATAGATTATTTTTACTTCATAAACTTTAAACATACACTCCCACACAAAATCTTAAAATAAAAAATAATACCTAGCACCTACAAATTACACCAAACAGAGCCAACAACTATAGGAAGAAAGAGACCCCATAGCCTTGAATCATCTAATTTGCAATCTTTTCTTGTGGTTCAATGATGTGCTGTGTGTATAATGCATTTCCCTGCAAAGATATATATATATATATATATATATAGCCTCTGTTAACATCATGTCATTCATTGTGTTTCTTTAGAAATTTCATGGCATGTTTCTCTTTGATCAGGTATGAGGTAGTTGACATGCTGCCATCCATTGAAATAAAGAAAACAGAGTATGGTGGGAGAGCTTACAAAGTCTCAGCAATATAAAATGGACTAATTCAACTGCTGGAAAAAAAAAATGAAATTATTTCTTGAAAGGGATTGAGTCTCCTACATCCTTGGACTAGAAATTTATATGGACAAAGATATTGATGAGTAAGAATAGATGATTCAACTAACAGGAAAAAAAAATCAAATTTATTTTTCTGAAAGTGATGGCGCTTCATTTCATTGGGCAATATTATAATTTCATAGAAATTATAATTTCGAAAATCAAACCCATAAAACAAAAATCAAACCCATTTTCAACATGAAGAATATCATAATTTCATAGAAATCAAACACTTCAACCAAACCCATTATCGAAATCAACACAAAATTAAACTAAAAAAATCATATAAACCCTAGATGAAGTGTGAGAAATGGGGAAATAGGGGAAGGGAGAAAGAGAGAGAGAGAAACAGAGACAGAGTGAATGGCTCGACACAGAGAGAGAGACCCAGGTCGACAACGAGGGAGAGGACCAAACGCGACAGTGACAAACCTGTGATTTGCGGCAGTGTTGGTGGTGATTTTGGCGATGGCGGTGGCGACGTGCGACGGTGGGGATGGACGGTGGCCAGCGACAGTGGTAGTAACAATCGGTGGTGAGAGGGAAAGTCAGAGAGAGAACCGCTGAAGAAAGAGAGAAGAGGCGCTGGTTTGGGGTTTGGAAACCAAAATATATATATTACACCATTGGCAACTAAAAGTTTTTAGTCGCTGAAAGTATTTCATAAATCCCGCCAAACTATTTAAAATATCTCCCTCAAATAATTTTAGTTCTTTGGCGACTAAAATTATTTTTCGTCACTGAACATAAACTTTTGGCTACTAAAATTTTGGTCGCCAAAGGGTTCCCATAATTTTTTATTTTTCAATCGGCAACTAAAGCGTTTTAGTAGCAAAATCTCTACCTAAGGCAACTAAAATTATTTTTCGTCGCTGAAAATATACTTTTGGCGACTAAAAAAGGTAAAAAATAATTTTTTATTTTCCAATCGGCAACTAAAGCGTTTTAGTAGCCAAATCTCTACCTACGGCGACTAATTTTTTTTTTTTTGTCGCCAATTTTGGCATTTTTGGTGACTAAATTTTTTTTTAGTCACCAATAAACAATATATCCCGACTAAAAAAAAATTAGTAGCTAAATATTTCTACAACTTTTGGCGACTAAATTTTTTTTAGTCGCCAAAGGTGTAGTTTGTTATTGTCATTTTACAACAAACAATCGAGATGCACTTAATATTCAAATGAAAGTTTGAAAAATCCAAATGATCATATATTACTCTAGTTGTAGGTTAGAGTAATGTTATTTACGAATATGCTATTTTAGTAATTTTTTGATTTTTTATGAAAAAATATCTAGAAAAATAGAGAGAATGATGTGATAATTTATAGTGATTTTTTGATTAAAATATGTAGTTGCCAAACGAGGCCTAAGAGTCAAGACAATGGTCCAAAATAAAAAATATATAATCTTTTTTGAGTAATATATGATCTCTTGTGCTCTATCTCTTTAACGTGTTTAACTTGTAACAAACAATTTTTTAGATGGGAACTTTGCAACAGTCTTAATCCTCTCATCAATCAATTTAGTTTTACTTTTGAATTGAAATACCATAATCTTTATCCTTAGATTGGGATTTTTTTTCATCAAAAAATAAAAAAATAAAAAAAATTGGGAGTTTTAAAATTAATTGCTAAATTTAATCTTTATCTATTAACGGTGCTACCTTTGAGAGTTTCTTTCCACTAATTATATGTGTTTTTATTTGATCTTCAATATTCTTTTTTATTAAATACACACTTCTTTTTATTTTTATTAGACAATGTTGTAATAATTTTTTTACATTTTTGTTAACTACATAAAATGCCCCCTCTCTCTTAAACTTGTACATTTATCTTCTTTCATCCCTTATAAATTCATTATGAGGACAAAAATGTGAGATGAATTTGGTAAAAAGGGTGGAAAAGGTCACCCTAATTTTATTCAAGTAAATTTTATTAAAAAAATAAAAGTTATCGGATATTTATGAAATATTCCACAAGAGAGATGTATTTGGTCAAACAAAAATGATTCATCCATAAAATTTGAATTTGTCAGAGTCGTTTGAATTTGTGCATGTCGGTCGACTGCAGGATGACTGGTACAACCCTTGTTAACCGTGATTGTTACCTTTGTTGTCGGATGACTAGCTAGATGACCGGCATGTACAAATTTGAGCGATTCAAACAAATCAAAATTCGATAGATATTACATTATTCTTGGTCACCCTAATTTTATTCAAGTAAATTTTATTAATAATAAATTTATGACATATTTATAAAATATTCCACTTGTAGTTAAGGCTTGTAACAGGCCTAACGGGATTTGGTTTGTAGTGCACCGCCCCCTGTCTATACCATGTTGAGGGGCAAATCGAAGAGGTGGTAGAAACTTGGCGGTGATGGATAAATTTATTTTTTGACTTTACTACGATATAAATAAAAATGAGAAATAATATGGTATATTATAGATAAATTTAAAAATGATGAGAGGTAGAATATGTAAGATGTGCAATAAATAAATAAATAAATGATGTTAAGTGTAATTTTAATGTTTTAATTTTTTATATTCAAAAGAATTAAATTCTATATAGTCAATATATATAAATATATATAATCAACGTGACAAAAGTGTAAACGAGATGGGATAACAAAATTCATTCTCATCTCACTTTCTTATTGACACGAAAAAAAACTTGTGCTCAATGATTATAGGAGACATGCCACATTAAATGATAAATAAAATAAAATAGAACTGAAAAATTGTTATACAAACTATAAGTTAGTCAAATATGGATAAAAAAAATATGATGATCTAAATTTGTATAATATTGTTATTAAGAGTGCTGCTATTAGCACCTATCAAAATTTTTTAGACCCCCCATTTCTTTGGATCCCAACTCTAAACCCTAAATTTTAATAATATTTTTTTGGATACCCCACTTATTACCAAATCTACCCATATTCATAATATCTTCACAATGAAATGCACACTCACTTAATTTTTCATCCCTCTCCTTCCTTAATTCACTCAATCTTCAGAGTTTGGAGCTTTGGTCTAGTATAGAATTCTTGGACCCCAACCCTCCATCACTCTCGTCGCCGTCTCGGCCGTCAACGGAGCATTCCGACGACTCTCATCTTCTCTGAACGCTCTATGTATCGCCGAATCAGAAACTTCTCTCATCCTCTCATCATCATCATCTTCTTCGTTGTTTTTTGTATGTTCGTCATCGCTGAGATCGATCGAAGATACTCCAATTTCTACGAGATTTGTATAACCGTTTGCAAGGTGAGGAAAAACATAATCATCGTCTGAATCGCCATCAGAATTTTGAATGTAGCCCAAAACAATTTGTTCACCACTGTGTAGCCGAAAAAATATATTTTGTTTATAACTGTTTTGTTGAACAATAATGATCCTGTCAGCACTGTATGTTCGAACAAAATTTGTTCATCACTGTGTAACTTGAATTCATTCCAATTCACAACTTAAAATAACATGAATTAAATCCATTCAAAATACATAATTTAAATCCATTTCAATTCACTCTTTTCCATTCTAAGTTAGTTTAACAAATAAAATTACATAACTGACTATCTGCATTAATGTTCGGAACCTATGTATTGAACGAAAGGATTATGTTCAGTACTGTATTACCGAACATAATTCTAACAATCAGCAAACCAGGATCGAACAGCTCGAACGAAACAAGAACAACTGAAAACAATCGAGAATGTTAATGCAAGACAGTTAAACTTATAAGATGATGAAGTATACGTTATACTTGAAGCAAAACGTTCAAGTTCAATAGCGCTGATGATGGTAATAAAGATGACACATTCAAAATTTAATATGATTGTGAAAAATAATACATTTAGGGTTTATGTTAATTGATTATGAAAAGTAATAGGTTTAGGATTTACAAACATGTAATACGTATAGTTGGAGTTTGAGGTGGGGATGAGGGTGGGTGTCTAATATTATAGAATATTAGTTCTTATTGATAGACGGATGTTCCATTTAATAATATCTTTTAATATAATTTTACTTTAGAGTATAATTATAATTAAAAAAATTATAAAATAAAGGGTCTAAAAAATTTTGACAAATGTTAATAGTAGCACTCTATTATTAATTTTGAAATTAAAATAGGAGAACCAAATGACGCTGATGTGTTAATGGAAAGCCAGGGATCCAACTAGGCCCAGCTCCTCTTTATTATTCGACCGTTGAAATTGAATGTCCAAACTCCAAACCCTTTTACCCAATCACCCAAAAATAATAATAATAATAATAATAATAAATAAATAAATGGCCTTTTACTTTTGACTTTGAGAAATTGGGAGCATATCCAAAAAGTATCGTCACAAAGAGACCGTTTAAGCGTAGCAGGAGCCATCGGATCTCTCAGCATCTACGGCCAAGATCTTTCGACCGTTATATTCGAATCCGTTCCTTTTATAAACCTTCAAAATATTCTCATTTTACTCCCAAATTCAAATTGAAATTCCATTTTTTTCTCCACCTCTTCTTCATTCATCTCGTTCCTCTTGGGTTCGGTGAAATCTCAATCTGGGTTCTGTTCTTCACCAGTTTTTGATCTATTTTCCCTTGTATTTTCTTCCCATTCAACATTAATTTCCGAGAAACAATACACCAAAATGGTTAAAATGGCGTCTTCTTCTTCCCCATCTTCGTCTCCGGCGGTGACCGTTACAGTCTCTTCTTCAGGTGCGTTTCAGAGCATGGGCTTGACAAGTCCCATACGGCGTTTCTCGACATCAAACAATCAGAATTCACCTCTCAGTAACAGAGGATTGAAGGGTTCAAGCGGAGGTAATCGCAGATCTTCCGGCGAAAGAAAATTTCTTTCAATGTCCAAAGAAAACACAGAGGAGTGTGTTGCTTACACAGTTCACATCCCTGCAACACCAGATCGGCGAGTCATGTCTGAGTCCCAGACTAGCCCCTTTGAAGACAGCAAGAAATCAGGGCACCTAATGGGGGGTTCTTACATTAAGGATACTATTTACACTGGAGGATTCAATTCCGTGACTCGAGCCCATGTAATCGAGAACTCGGTGGATGAACCCAAGGCAGTGAAATCAGAATTGGTTTGTGGAATGAAGGGTTGTGATGAGAAAGCTCAGGATGGTACTTGGAAGGCTCAGTGCGAGTGTGGATTCAAAATTTGCAGAGATTGTTACTTGGACTGCATTGGAACTGGCGAAGGGTATTGTCCTGGTTGTAAAGAGGTCTATAAAGGTGTTAGCGAAGACGAAAGAAGCGAACCCAGTTCGGAAGAAAAGGACCAGCCACATCCACTGCCAAGAGGAGGAAAGGGAGGTGTCAGAATTGAGAAGAACTTTTCGCTTGTGCAATCGTTCAAAGCCCCAAATCATGATTTTGATCACGCTCGATGGCTGTTTGAGACCAAGGGCACGTATGGGTATGGGAATGCAGTATGGCCTAAAGATGGATATGAATTTGGGAGAGGGACTGACAGGTCTGAATACCCTCCAGAATTCAATCAGAGATGTAACAGACCTTTAACCAGGAAGGTTGGGATTTCTGCTGCAATTCTCAGCCCATACAGGTTAGTGTCAAACAGGGCTCTCGGTTTCTTTCTTTTCACTGAAATTAATCTTGATTCCTGAGTAATTTTAGTCTCTGTTTTTTTCCTCATAGCTATGCTGGATTAGTATTAATGAGTGAACAATTTACTGATGGTGATTCCTTTCCCTGTGCTGGGTTTGGGATGGCTGTTGAGTTAGGGTTTGCCTTATCATAGTAATTGATTGCTAAAGAAAGCTATGCTTTCTTCATTTTTTTGCCCCCCTTGAATAGCTTTACCTCAATGCAGTGACTCTTTCCAGCAATCTGTTTCAATTGGGAAATTTTTTTTTATAAGTTATACAAAATTCTCTACCAGATTAATGTGGCAGTGATAGTTTTATACCATCTTCATGTATTCTTTGTTTTAAAAAGATAAGTTCACATTCAACCAGGCTCATTCTTTATTCAAAATTTGTATGCAATTTCAATTGTTACACAATTGTAATTTGTGTTCTTGACTTTTATGTGGCTATTTGTATTCTAAGTTGAGTAATGCTATACAAATTTATACACAATTTTTTGACAAAATGATGTGGCTGAATTAGAGCTTCGCACTTTAAAACAGAACATAATCAAAATGGCATTCTTGCAGTTTTTGTGTGTGTGTATAACTTTACTGTAAGATCAGAATTTTCCTTCCAAATTTGATGTATTTATGTTGTTTTGTAGGTTGCTTATATTCATTCGTCTTGCTGCACTTGCTTGCTTTCTAACATGGAGGGTTTCGAATCCTAACCATGAAGCTATGTGGTTATGGATAATGTCCGTAGTTTGTGAGTTCTGGTTTGCACTATCATGGGTTCTAGATCAGCTCCCAAAGCTCTGCCCCATTAATAGAGTAACCGATCTCTCTGTTCTCAAAGAGCGTTTCGAACCATCAGCCCTAAACCTTCGCAATCCCAAAGGACTCTCTGACCTTCCCGGAGTTGATGTTTTTGTTTCAACCGCTGATCCAGACAAAGAACCCCCTCTTGTGACAGCAAACACCATTCTTTCAATCCTGGCCGTTGACTATCCTGTGGAAAAGCTAGCTTGTTATTTATCAGATGATGGAGGGTCTCTTGTGACATTTGAAGCCCTTGCTGAGGCTGCAAGCTTTGCAAGGATATGGGTTCCATTTTGTCGGAAACATAAGATAGAACCAAGAAATCCCGAGGCGTATTTTGGGTTGAAGCGCGATCCCCTCAAGAACAAGGTACAGCTTGATTTTGTGAGAGAGAGAAGAAGAGTGAAGAGGGAATATGCTGAATTCAAGGTGAGGATAAATGCCTTACCGGAATCGATAAGGCGAAGATCAGATGCATATAATGCCCAAGCTGAGCTAAGAGCGAAGAAGAAACAGATGGAGATGGGGGAAAATTCTTTTGAACCTGTTAAGGTCCCAAAGGCTACTTGGATGTCTGATGCATCTCATTGGCCTGGAACTTGGTCAATGTCAGAGCAAGGCCATTCGAGGGGCGATCACGAGGGTATAATCCAGGTACTTCCTGCTCTTTCATGTCTCACCTGACTTTTTAGTTTTTAAGTCCAATTTTCAAGCACTGACGTACTATTTTTTTTTCTGCAGCTAATGTTGGTTCCTCCTAACACAGAGCCAGTTTTTGGGACAGAAGCAGATGGGGAGAACTTGATTGACACAACAGATGTTGATACAAGATTGCCAATGCTAGTCTACGTGTCTCGTGAGAAGCGGCCTGGTTTTGATCACAACAAGAAAGCTGGAGCTATGAATGCCCTTGTCCGAACTAGTGCAATTATGTCGAACGGTTCGTTTATTCTCAATCTTGACTGCGATCACTACATCTATAATTCGTTGGCTATGAGGGAAGGAATGTGCTTTATGCTAGACAGGGGCGGCGACAAGATCTGTTATGTTCAGTTCCCACAGAGGTTTGAGGGGATTGATCCAAATGATAGGTATGCAAATCACAATACAGTGTTCTTTGATGTGAGCATGAGAGCACTTGATGGACTACAAGGCCCAATGTATGTTGGGACAGGCTGTATTTTTCGGAGGATTGCTCTTTACGGATTTAGTCCCCCTAGAGCCACCGAACACCATGGATGGCTCGGTAGGAGGAAAATCAAATTCTCCTTGTTAAGAAGGCGCAAGTCAGCAGCAAAGAATGAAGACGACAATGAAATGATTTTGCCAATCAACGAGGAGAGAAATGATGAAGATGAATTTACCAAGGCCTTGATTCCACAACGGTTTGGGAACTCGACTTCTCTAATTGATTCTATTGCAGTAGCTGAATTTGGGGGTAGGTTGCTTCATGAGTTACGAGGAAAAGGTAGCCAGGGCAGGCCAGCAGGTTCTCTTGCAGTGCAACGCGAGCCTTTAGACGCTTCAGCTCTTGCAGAGGCAATCAGTGTCGTAACTTGCTTCTATGAGGATAAAACCGAGTGGGGCAAAAGAGTGGGATGGATATATGGTTCTGTAACTGAAGATGTTGTGACTGGTTACCGTATGCACAATAGAGGGTGGAGATCGGTTTACTGTGTCACGAAACCGGATGCATTTAGAGGCACAGCTCCAATAAACTTGACAGATAGGCTCAACCAAGTCCTTAGATGGGCAACCGGTTCTGTGGAGATCTTTTTTTCTCGAAACAATGCACTCTTCGCAACACGAAGGATGAAATTCTTGCAAAGGATTGCATACTTCAATGTGGGAATGTACCCTTTCACCTCTATTTTCCTCCTCACCTATTGCTTCCTGCCTGCATTTTCTCTCTTCTCTGGAAAGTTCATAGTCCAATCCCTCAGCACAACTTTTCTAGTGTTCTTGTTGGCGATCACGCTCACCTTGTCAATGCTTGCAATCCTTGAGATCAGATGGTCTGGAATCACTCTCCATGATTGGTGGCGAAACGAACAGTTCTGGTTGATTGGTGGAACAAGTGCCCATCTTGCAGCTGTATTTCAAGGACTACTGAAAGTCATAGCAGGAGTTGATATCTCATTCACATTGACCTCTAAATCTTCTGCCCCTGACGATGGAGATGATGAGTTTGCAGAGTTGTATGTATTTAGGTTCACCATATTAATGATCCCGCCTATAACAATCATTTTGGTGAACATGACAGCGATTGCAGTGGGGGTATTCAGGACATTGTACAGCCCCTTCCCGCAATGGAGCAAGCTTGTTGGAGGCGTGTTCTTCAGCTTCTGGGTACTGTCTCATCTTTACCCTTTTGTGAAGGGGTTGATGGGGAAGAGGGGGAAAATTCCCACAATAGTGTTTCTGTGGTCGACATTAATCTGCATCATTATCTCGCTCCTTGCAGTGTACATGTACCCTCCATCTGGAAGGCAAGATTACATGACATTTCGCTTTCCTTGAATTTCTGGATGATGATTGTAGTAGTTTATTGTAAGCAGCGCCAACAAAGAAAGCAGCAGCATGAAGTTTCTCAACTTCAGCTCTGAATTTGTATTTTCCTGTGATTTCGTCGTTTATTGTGGTGTGTAGTATGTGTATGTATGTTATATGGCTTGTAATGTAACAAGTTAGCTGTTCCTAACACAATTGTTAAATTTGCAGAGGTTTTTTTGGTACTCCTCAAGGGGGTTTATTAGTTGCAACAATTCCAGAATAAAAATAGAGTCATAATTATCAATATTCTGAATATTTGAATATACACCGTATATTTTGTATATTTTGAATATTTTACGGGTCAATTAAAAAGCGTGAACTCATTCTACAATCCTGTTGGCTACATATTTTGTATAGGCCAAACACAATCTAACACGTGGCAGGATGAAGGCAATACGGGAAGACAGTTCAAATTTTCAATCGTAATCACACACGTGGCAGTTAGTATTGGTTATTAAAGATCTGCATAGCACTGGATCAGCACAGAAGATACAAGATGACGTGGCTTTTAACGATTATATATATATTTAAATTCAAAATCAAGAGGGAAACCTAACTGCAGATATGACATAGTGGAGCTAACTGTAAGGAAACATCAGCGATCATGGAGGGGGTGGTTCGACAGTTAGAAGTTCATTTTGACGGTTGTCATTGAAAAGTATAAATAGCAGAGAAGGCTCCAGAAAGAGCCCCAGACTCAGATCCAAAAAAATCAATTTTTATCTACTTTATTTTGCTTTCAGTTTTTACATTTCTTGTTCTTTACATTTCTGTATTTCAAATTCCTATATTGCACTTCGTTTATAGGAGTAGTTTCATGTAGTTTGTTGCTGTAAACCTCTACGAGACTGATTTGGATCTTTGTAAGTCTTCCATGTTACTTAATGAAATGTTACAATTGTTCTTCATATTAATCGTTGTTTGCTTAATTCTCCTAAACAAAGCCACCAGTAAAAGTCCTTTCTATTGAGGTTGAAAGTACTAAAACACAATCGTCTGATAATTGGTTGGCAATTAATATTCTGTAAGGACTGATTGATCCTTGCTGGCACGCTCAAAATTACAATAATAACCTTCGAAAGTCAGAAAGTCAACATATATTTTTGGCACGCCCGGTGAGACGTCAAATGTAAGAAATGAAAAATGAATTGGATTTGTCCATTTTAAATAGCCTAGATGAAATCTATTGGTGTAAACAAAAAATTTTGGATCTTCAAGAAGAGATTCATTTTCTTGATGAAATAAACTTCCATCCCTTACAATATTATTTGGTGGGGGAAAAAAGACACATTTAATTGAAGAAATTCATCAACTTGATATAAAAATTCGCCAATGGAATGATGAATTATCAACTCTCACTACCAAGTCTTTAACTGAGACTTTAATGGCCGAAATTGGTGAAATTTTTCAAAATTTTTCCATGGTTAAAAATAGCAAAAGTAAAGAGTTAATTTCATCAATGGCTTGGAGGGTTCAAGAGCCCGTGTTAAAGAGCCAAATTATGAAATTAACATAACGAAAGAGCATGTTTTTTAGCTAAATTTGGCAAAGAATAATGTTCCATGCATGGCTCGGGTGGTCCAAAAACTAATTTTTAAAGAGTCAAGTCATGAAAATAGCATACCTATGAGGGATTTTCATAAGCCATTAATGGTTAACATGGAAAAACAACCCACTTTACTAAATAATTATGAAAATCAATTTGGCGAAAGTCATGTTTTTAAACCAAACATGGTCAATGAACAAGTCACTGTTTATGAATTCAAAATTTTTGACATTTTTCAAAATATCAAAAAGTATGAATTTTCACGATCACACTATACCATAATTTTTGTTGTTCCAAAGCCATTTTGGATTTGTAGATCACATCAAACGTTGACTTTGATGGAATGACTAACAAATAATATTTTGTTATTGCAATATATTAGGCCAAAAATATAGTTATTAGTTGATCCATAAAACTATCATCATTTGGTTTTGTGGTTACCTTCGAAGCATGTTCCAAGACACTTCAAAGCATGTTATTAAGAACATGTGAGGGTTGTTAATCCAACTCTTTGAATTTGGTTCGAAGGGATGTCGTGAGCACTCTCGAAGGACAACTTTGATCCTTTAGTAACATACGTGACTTTCGAATGGTGGTTTTGTCATCAATAAACACCTGCGAAATGTAACATGAAACGAGAAGGCTTTCAAAATGTGTACCTCCCTATAAATATATGTAAAATGACAATTAATTAATTGTCAAATAATGCCTATTTTGGCATGATAATTAGTGGTTTTACTAATAAATATTTTTATAGCCATTTGTTACATGAAAATGTAACTAATATTCTACAATAATTGGTTCGAAGAACAACGGTTTTGGTGTCTTCAGAGAATTAATAATTGGTTCAGAGCATAAAATTAATATTTTCATTAAATTATGTGTGAACCAGAACATACAAAATTTGAATAATATTGGCCAAAAGTTGCTTCGAAAGCCCTTTTGCCATAATTTTTTAAGCTTCAAAGCACTCCATCTTGCATCTACAATAGCTTCGAAGAAATAATATTGGTCATTGTGAACCTTCAATGTTGGCCAAAAGTTGCTTCGAAAGCCCTTTTTACCATAATTTTGTAAGCTTCGAAGCATTCTATCTTGCATCAACAACAGCTTCGAAAAAAAAATAGTGATGGTTGTGAACCTTCGAAGCTTTGCCGAGTATTTCCAAGGATATAATTCGTCATTTGTCGGCACTTTTGACCTTCAAATGATGATTTTGGTCCTCTATACCACCTTCAAAACTGGTTATTTAACATGTATAACAGTTTGCTAAGGTGAATCATTGGCTTTGCCTTGAAAATATGTGGTTATCCTTTGAAATTTTTCTGCAATAATATCCCTTCAATGTGTATATATATAATTCACAACATCTAGTCATAATTTTGTGCTCATTCGAAGCACTTTATTGGTGCTATTATATCATTCGAAGCACTTTGTTGATATTATTTGAAGTACTTTCTTGGTTAGATTAGTCATGTGTTTGGTTCAGCCCATCAAAAATTAAAGTAAACATCATTTTTAAGGGCTGCGGGGGGTAATGTTGGCACCATAAATCTGTAATTTTTATTATTATTTATTATTTATATAATTGCAGGACATATGGCATGCTCCTACTCATTTGGAGATTATGAGAAGTTATGAAATGTGGAAATATGATGGAGAATAAAGTGGAGAACATGGAGCATAAATTGAAGATTAAAGAAAGTTATGAAGACATGGAGGGATATGTGGCATTGTGGGAACGAAGATGGAAGAGTGGGTAGTTTTAAGTGGTTATTGGGTAGTTATTGCTGGAAGTTTTTTCCTACAAATATGTGCCTATAAATAGTCATTCATGGCTACATTGTAAAAGATTCAAAATTTAAATCAACGACAATTGATTTCAATATTTCTTGTCATTTTCCTTATCTTAGGAGTAGTTTAACATAGATCTATATTTCGAAGCATTTGTTTTTAGTATTTTCTTTTCAAAGCATTTTATGCACTTCCTTTTCGAAGCACAGGAGTAGAGGTAAGTAATTATTATTTTAATTGTTCACTCAATCGTCTTTCTTTGTCCCTCTTTCTTCTTTTAATTTTTCTTTTCTCTACACTTGACAATTTTGAAGTTCTCTTCGTTGAGGCAAAAGAACAGTCAACACAATCGCTTGATAATTGGCTTGAATTTAATCTGTAAGGATTTTTCAATCCTTGCTGGCACACTTGCATTTATGGTATTTTCCTTCGTAGGAAAAATAATCCAACAATTTTTGGCACGCCCAGTGGGACTAATTGAAATGACTAGATGTAGGAGAAAATGAGAAAATGAACGCTTGGACGAAGGCGTGGAAGAAGAGGTAGAAATACCTAATCCAGAGGATAATGTGATAACATATCCTGTGGAAGTACCTGTTTTATCAGAACCTATGGTCGAACAGACTAGTACTTTGGAGCAAGTACCACATGTTCAAAGTATTGGACGAGAGCAAGGAATTGGACCATCCACTGTTCCATCTACTCAGCCAATGAATCCATGGGGAGGCCTAGTAGATGCCATGGGACAGCAGTTAATGAACACAATGGAAAGATGGGCAACATCCTTTATGGATCGAATGAATACTCATCAACTAACTAACGCAAGGCAAATGAAAGAGATTTCAAATGTCCCTCAGCAAAGATTGAGAGGTAGAAATACCTAATCCAGAGGATAATGTGATAACATATCCTGTGGAAGTACCTGTTTTATCAGAACCTATGGTCGAACAGACCAGTACTTCGGAGCAAGTACCACATGTTCAAAGTATTGGACGAGACCAAGGAATTGGACCATCCACTGTTCCATCTACTCAGCCAATGAATCCATTGAGAGGTCTAGTAGATGCCATGGGACAGTAGCTAATGAACACAATGGAAAGATGGGCAACATCCTTTATGGATCGAATGAATACTCATCAACTAACTAACGCAAGGCAAATGAAAGAGATTTCAAATGTCCCTCAGCAAAGATTGGCTAGAGATAAACAGCCTATGTGAAATAATGGACATTCCAATGGTCAAACTAGTAATCAAAACTACGAAAGACCGTCACCTCAGTCGTGGTATGAGCCTCTTTCGAGGCTTGTAACAAATCAAAATGCCTCATTATTTAACAGTGAAGCCATGCAAATTGGTGGATCTGGCCCAACACAAGAAAATGGCATAAGGATGCTCCCAAATCCCATGTTCAAAGCCATACCTGACACAAGGGGGTTCACTAATCCTTTGTTCGAATTTGTACTCGGGGGGTTGGAAGGATTTCCTACGACTGGAAGAGACACAACACATGTTCCAGCACCTTTCACAAGTCCTCTCGTAGGACAGGCTCAGAGGGGTCACCCATACCCTCAACAGCAGCCAGTACCACAGGGACAATCAGTCACAAATATACCGCCCTATGGACCAAGAGGACCTCATGCACAAGGTTGTCCACCAAATGCTGTGTTTGTTCCTCCAGTAATGGTTCAACAAGCACAAAATATGGTTCCTAAGGACCAAATTGCTGATATTGTTAGAGAGATGTGTGGACCGATGGCTCGGGGGGTTCAAACTCCCGTGTACAAGAAACCATATCTACAATGGGTAGATAGGGTACATGAATACCCGAGAGGGTTTAGGATACCAGACTTTGCTCTTTTTTATGAGAATGGAAACCAGTCAATAGTAGAGCATATTGCTAGGTT